AGAGAGAGAAAGGTCTTCCTTTGCCATTGGTTCATCCTCCAATGGCCGCCGCGGCCGGTGCACGGCGCTGATCCAATGGCAGGAGACAGGTACTTATCCTGGTCTCCCATGGGGCGCAGGGCCCAAGCACTTGGGCCATCCTCCACTGCCCTCCCTGGCCACAGCAGAGAGCTGGCCTGGAAGAGGGGCAACTGGGACAGAATCCAGCGCCCTGACCGAGACTAGAACCCGGTGTGCCAGCACCGCAAGGCGGAGGATTAGCCTAGTGAGCCGCGGCGCCGACTCCCTTAATATCCTTTTAATGAGCATAGGATCTGTGCCCCTTTATCCCAATATAGATGATTTGTGTTTTTCTCCTAGGGGAATTATCAATTTTATTAATTTTTCTTCTAAGAACCAATTTTTGACTTTGTTGATTTTAAAAATTAATTTGTGTTGTCTGTTACATGGATTTTTGCACTTTGGGTTTAATTATACAATTTTACTAGCGTTTACAATGAAGACACAGATCCTTGGTTTTCAGTCTTCCTTCTTGCCTAGGATAAATACCCAAAACTGCAAATTTCCCTTCAGTACTGCCTTAGGTACAAGTCACAAGTACCAGCACATTGTGTTTTTGTTAACAGAAATGTATTTGAAATAAAGTTCATTGTGTTTGTTTGAGGCTTACAACATGGTTTCATGACTCACATATGAGGGGACTCCAGAAAGTTCATGGAAAAATAGAATTAAGAGGTAAGCTTGTGTTAATGTGGACATGTTTGAAATCTATACATATGTAATGCATATATATATACATATATGTAAAAATGTGAATTTATCCATAAGCTTTCTGAGTACTCTTTGTATAGGTAGTAAAATGGTTAGTAGAGTGGAGTAGATTAACGTGTCATCTTGATGTAAGCAGTGAATATCTTTGGGCATTTGATATTTTTTAAAGATTTATTTATTTATTTGAATGGCAGTGTTAGAGATAGAGATAGAGAGAGAGAGAGAGAGAGAGAGAGAGATTCCATCTGCTGGGTCACTCCCTAAATGGCTGCAGTGGTTGGGGCTGGGCCAAGCCAAAGTTGGGAACCAGGAGCTTCTTTTGGGTCTCCCACCTGGGTGAGGGGCCCAAGCACTTGGGCCATCTTCTGCTGCTTTCCCATGTGCACTGTCAGGGAACTGGACTGGAAGCACAAAAGCTTTTACCCGAACCAGTGCTCCGTTGTAGGATGCTGGCATCACAAGAAGTGGCTTAACCCACTGTGCCAGAACTCCAGCCCCTTGAGCTCTTTTTAAACATTCCGCATGTAAATGAAATCATGCAGTGTTTTTCTTCCTGTGTCCGACTTATTTCACACAGCAAGTCTTCCAGGTCTCTCTGTGCTGTGGCAAATGGCAGGATCTCCTACTTCTTTAAGGCTGACTAGTATCCCATTTCTCTCTCTGTCTCTTTCTCTCTCTGTCTCTCTCTCTCTCTCTCTCTCTCTCTCTCTCTCACACACACACACACACACACACAAACACACAAAGTTCTTTATTCACCCCCTCACCAGTGAGCATGTTGGTTGTTTCTGTGCCTTGGCTGCAGTGAACATGAGGGTGCACGTATCTGCACAAGGCAATTATCCCTCTTTGGGTCAGTAGCTAAGGGAAGGACTGGAAAGTCTACTTTTAAATTTCTTTGGGAGCCTCCATGGAGTTTTCCCATCCACATTCCCACCAGCCGTGTGCTGGGATTCTCTCTTCCCCACACAGATCAACAATTCCATTTATGAGAATTGAAGCCTTAGTGTGGTCCCTGTTTGTGTAGCTGACAGTCCAGGGCTAGATTCTGAAAACATTGTTTCAGCTGGGGTCCAGCCTCAGCTGTACTTTCACCTCTGCCGTCTTCACTTTCCTCCAGGAAAAGGGGGTGCATTTGCTTGTCCTCATCCTGTCTTCCGCCTGTTCAGAAAGCCACACCTAACTGGGTGCTTATGTGGCTGTCTCGCATTGTTGCTGGGGAGAAGCAGGAGTGAACTGTGAAATCCTGACGTGCTGGTTTTCTTGCCGGTGTCAGCTCATGGATGGCAAATGGCCTGGAAGCCGTTCATGGTCTGAAGCTCTGGTTGCCGGATTTTCTGCTTCTGTAGTGAGGTGACAGCTCGTTTTCATTAAGAATGCTCTGGTTTTTCTGTGTGAATTCTTTAATTTCTTGGGGTGGAAAATTTGAGTTTCAAAGGCGTTAGATGCTCTGTCTACAGTTAGCGGTAGGTACTCTGGTCAACATGGACAGGATGTATTGGATTTTAGTGAAATAATGAGTGCCCTCCTCCCGCTGACTGGAGCGTCTGGGGTGAGAGTCTGGGTGTGTGGAGCAGATGTCAGTGGCCGCTGCGTGGGGCCTTGTGCTCGCTCCCCTTTGTTACATGGGTGCCTGGGCAGGTTGGAACAGGAGGATGCAAGCTGACCTCGTTTCTCTGTACGACCTGGAAGAAATCATGTCCTGTCCCCAAGCCCCTTAAGCTTCCAGGATGCTTCAAAATGTTCAAGGAAAATGGAATTAAAAGAAAATTTTTTTTCAGTAAAAGACATTTTTGATATTCATTAATAGATTTTCCATAATACACGTTTTTCATGAACTTTTTTAAGATTTATTTTATGTATTTGAAAGGTGAAGTTACAGAGAGAGATAGAGTTCCATCTGCTGGTCCTCTGCCCAAATGGCCACAATGGCCAGGGCTGGGCCAGACTGAAGTCAGGAGCCAGGAGCTTCTTCCAGGTCTCCCATGGAGATTCAGGGACCCAAGCACTTGGCCAGCTTCTGTTGCTTTCCCATTAGCAGGGAGCTGGAACAGAAGTGGAATAGCTGGGATCTGAACCAGCAGCCATATGGGGTGTTGGTGTCGCAGGCACCAGCTTCACCCATGATGCCACAATGCTGGCCCCTTCATGAACTTTTTAAAGCCTCCTCAGTTGAAAAAAATCTTTAAAAAAAGGTACAAAGCATAGTAATGTGAATCTCCAAATATTAGCCACCAAAATTTAATACTTACCAAGATTTTTGTGCATTTACTTCATCTGTTGCTTTTTTTGTTTGAGTTATTTAAAAGAAAATCCTGGCCACATTGTGTCATTTCACATCTTCATACTTTAGTAAGCCTCTAAAAAATGGGCATGCTCTTATATTACCACAATGTTAATATCATTGTTAAAAATTAATGTTTAGGGACTGGCACTGTGGTGCAATGGGTTAAGCCGATGCCTCTGGCATTGGCATTCCAAATGGGTGCTGAACATAAGTCTTTTAAAAAATTAGATTTTGGTAGCATTTATAACCAGTGCATAATGAAATTTTCCAGATTATCCTTGAGTTAGTCTATCATGTTTCAAAGGGGATAATAATGCCTCTCCCCCACCTCTTTTTGTTTCAATAATAATTGAAGATTTTTTTTAAAGATTGATTTATTTATTTGAAAGACAGAATTCCCAAGAGAGAGGTGGAGACAGAGAGATCTTCCTTCCGCTGGTAAACTCCCCAAATGGTTGCAGTGGCCAGGGGTAGAGCAGGCTGAAGCCAGGAGTCAGGAGCTTCATCCAGTCCCCCATGTGGATGCAGGGGCCAAGCACTTGGGCCATCTTCCAGTGTGCTCCCAGGCTATTAGCAGGGAGCTGGATCAGAAGTGGAGCAGCCAGGACTTGAACCAGCACCCATATGAGATGCTGGCACTGCCAGTGGAGGCTTCACCTTCTGTGCCATGGCACTGGACCCCCTCTTCACCCCTTCTTTTATAGAAATTTTGAGGGAAAGTATCATGTACCTATTTTGAATAAAAAGTATTGAAGTTCTTTAAATATACCAAGATCTCTTGCCTTCAAGGTTTTTTTTTTTTTTTTAAGATTTGTTTTTATTTATTTGAAAGGCAGAATAACAGGCTGGCACCACAGCTCACTAGGCTAATCCTCCACCTTGCGGCGCCGGCACACCGCATTCTAGCCCCGGTCAGGGCACCGGATTCTGTCCCGGTTGCCCCTCTTCCAGGCCAGCTCTGTGCTATGGCCTGGGAGTGCAGTGGAGGATGGCCCAGGTCCTTGGGCCCTGCACCCCATGGGAGACCAGGATAAGTACCTGGCTCCTGCCATCGGATCAGCGTGGTGCCCCGGCACCAGCGCGCTAGCCGTGCCGGCCAATGGAGGGTGAACCAATGGCAAAGGAAGACCTTTCTCTCTGTCTCTCTCACTGTCCACTCTGCCTGTCAAAAAAAAAAAAGGCAGAATAACAGAGAAAGAAAGAGGGAGAGACAGAGAGCAATCTCCTATCCACTGGTTTACTCCCCAAATACCTTTAATGACCAGTGCTAGGCCATGCTGCAGCCTGGAGCTCCATTTGGGTCTTTCATGTTGCTACAGAGGCCCACAAACTTGGGCTAGCCTCTGCCGCATTCTCAGGCACATTGGCAGGGAGCTGAATTGGAAATGGAGCAGCTGGGACTCCAACCGGTACCCAAATGGGATACTGGCATTGCTAGTGATGGCTTTACCCACTATGCCACAATGCCGGCCCCTCCTTCCAGATTTTGTAGTCTGAGGAACACAGCATGGTACTTGGCCTGCATGAGTGCTCAGAAAAATGCAAGTATTGGTAAAGGCAAGGTCTTCTTCCCTTTAAGGAGTTTGTGTCCCAAAAGCTGTATCTTTACTTCTCAACCTTTAAAAAAACTAACAGCTGGGAAAGTGCTGTTTGGTCGCAGGCACACTCCTCCCCCCGTCTTGCCTGCTGGCTGCCTTGGAACTTGGTGCAGACACGTTTCCTGGGCCAATGGAAACCTCGTCGAGGAGAGTGCCTTGATGTTGCCTCCATCCTTAGGCCCTCACATGGAGCAGCTGCTGCTGAATGTCTGGATCCACTGAGGGACGCCCTGCACAGCCCTCGCCTCCATGGTCCATACCTGTCTGCCTCGGAGTGCTCAGGAAATACCGCAGCTGCCCGTTCTGTTTAATGAGCCTTTATCTTGTGTTTGTGTTCTCTTCAGAGAAGAAGGATGTGACTCAGAGCCTGGAGAACTACACCTCCAAGTGTCCTGGGACGATGGAGCTCATCACTCTCCCAGATGGCCTCACCCTGACCCTGTGCCCTTCACCAAGCTCCCCATTGTCAGGTAAGGTGGGCGGGGCTTCTCCCACCCCACGTGTAGAGATCTTGAGAAGAACTTCCATGTTTTCCTGGATGACCGCCATCCTGGGATATGTGGACGCGAGAGACTGGACCTGTGATGTCCCACAGTGGCCCCAGGCACTTGCCTGTTCAATGGCAGAGCCACGTCCAGATCCAGGTCTGCCTGGGCTGTGACTGAGACTAGTCTGACCTTGTCACTCTCCTATTTACAAGGTTCCAGTCAGCTCCTTTTCCTTGGGCCACGTGGCCCAGCAGCACAGGAATGGGAGGCCACCTGTGTGCCTTTCCTCCCACGGAAGCTTGTCTGGTTTGCTGCCTTTGGCAGGCAGCTGCCCGTGGAGCTGAGTTTTAAAGCTGTATTTCATTGACGGCATTTTCAGGAAAGTCCCAGGAACTGGAAAGAGCTGTGTTTATTGAGACTTAACACAGATGACGTCAGAGTGGCAGTGGAGACAAGCGTGATCTCACACGGTCCGTGCTGACTTCCCACCCAGCAGAGAAAGCTCTGCTCTGGGGTTGGGCCGTGTCCCTGGTGCCGTTTCCCCGTGAACGTGGGGAGAGGGGGAGCAGAACCCTGGTTCTCTTGAAGACCTCACCTCTGCCCTTCTGGCTCCAAGCTCCCTGCCCCTTCCCAGGCTGCAACCACTCATGTCTCTCCTGTCACTGACCCAGGGCACAGTGTGCCCCAGGCCCTCCCTGTCCTGTGTTCTGGTGTCCTTGGCAAGGCCTGGCCGTGGCTCGAGCTCTCTCCCTCACTGCCCTGGAGACAGACACCAGGGTCCACTTGCATGTGGGGCAGGGATTGCCTGTCATGCTGGTTGGCCTGTGCGTCCCCATGACAGATCTACAGGGGCAGGGGCCTGCATTTCCTAGACAAGGAGCCCAAGCTTAGGGAAGGCCGGGCCCTGCCCAGAGGCCGACTGCCCTTGGTCCCCTCCTGGTGTGGAGGCCCAAGGCTGCTGGCAGCTCTCTTGCTCTCGGTTTTTGATCCTGAGCACTTTCTGTGCTGCCTCTTTATTTCTGTTTTTGATTGCTGTGCCTCCTTTTAGGGAAAAGGCACCTTCATTCCTTAGGGGCCCTGCCTCGATACCACCCCTGCTGCCTGCCTGTCCTGACCCCCCCACCTCTCTCACCTCTGCTTCTCAGATCCAGCCACATGACTCCTTTCTCGTCCTTGAACACATGACTTGTCCCAGTCCCACAGCTTTGGTCTCTGCATGGACCTCGTCCCATTGCTGTCGCTGCCTCACTCACAGTCACGCTGCTTGGGTCTCTGTTCAAATATCATCTTCTCAGAGGGGGAATCTGCTGCTCCCAGCACTCTGGAGGCCACCCTGCCCTCAGCATCCCTAGCTTGCCCCTCGGTAGTGCCTTTCCTTAACTCAATTAGACATTTGCCTCTTTATGGCTTCCCTCCCACAATGTAGCAAGAGGCCGGGAGCTCTGTGCTGCTCCCTGTCCTGTTCCCAATGCCCATAGCACAATGAAAGAGAGACTGGAGTGGACCGGGCTTGTCCAGGACCTCACTGCCAGGAGAAGTGGCCTCGCTGCTCAGTCTGTGCTGTCCGCAGTGCCGCGTTGTTCCCCGCAGAAGGGACACCGGAGCCCTGTGTGGAGATCATCATCGTAGCGTTCCTCCTGTAACTCCAGCACCAGCTGGCCTCAGCTCCTAGTAGGGCCTCACCATAAACATCACCAACAAGTTGCATGTTGTCAGAACTCCCTGAAAACAGTGCGTCTTTGGAAGTAAAGTTTTTGCTCAGCTACAGGGCAAGACCAAGGTGGGAGTCCTAGACAGACCTGTGCTTTCTGTCCCTGGAGATCACTTCTTCATTCAGATGCTGCTTGAGAAGAGGCTGGCTCATATTTTTGTGCCTTTAGTTGTCGCATTAATTTTGGAGGAGTTGATTTTTATCTCCTTTTATAGACAGAAAAACACAGACTCAGAGAGATGGTTTCCTACAGGTTACTTAGCTGCTTAGTGGCAAAGCCAAGAGCTGGGCTCACACATCCCCAGACCAAGTGTCCCGCTCGCAGGGGTGCTCTCTGTTTTGCTCTAATGTGCATGCACACCTGGTGTGGGCCCCAGTTAGCTGCAGATTATGCCTGGCTCCTAAGGGCTCAGGTACAGCGTCATGGCTTCATGGTGGTGTGGCAGCCACCTATACACCATTCTGTCCTTTGCTGTCAGTGTTCAGTAAATCATGTGAGCCCAGTTCCTGGCTAGTGTAAGTGTTCCAAGCATGTTGACACTGGGCTGCACTGAGCTAAGCCAGAGGGTTGCAGCCTGCCCCTACCCACCCAGTTCGTGCAGGCTGGACAAGTGCATAGGAAGTCAAACAGGGAGACAGGATGTCGGTGGCAGAGGTGCTCCTGGGTACCTCCCCTTTGAGCCTGAGCAAAGACTGTGCACTGGGGAGGCGGGGCCAGAGAGGCTCTAGAGCAGACTTGTATAGAGGGCTTAAGGGCTGGAGGCCAGGCTCCTCTTCTTGAGGCCACCTGTGTGATTCACAGGGCCCAGCACAGCAGGGGATCGGGGAGCCCCTGGTTACAACATTATTAAGGATTCAAAGACAGCGACATCAGAGCCTTAAACTCAAGGCCTTCGAGCTTGGCTTGGAGTCTCTGCCCTTGTGGCTCGTGCCCAGCATCCAGCCTCATTACTGTTCTTTGTTCTTCAGCAACTGATGAGGCTTCCTTTTGTGAATGAGGCCCAAAGCCGACACCAGGTAGGAGTTCTCATCGTGGTGGGATGCTGATGCTGCAGGTGCCTGTTCACGGAGAGGGTGGAGACTGAGGGGTGCACATCACCTGCCCTGAGCCAGCCAGCCAGGTCATGGCCAGGCCCTGTCTCCTTCCCTTGGCTTAGAACTCGGCACTCAGGGACTGCAGTTTGTTTGTTTGCTTTTCATTTTATTTGAAAGGGAGAGACAGAGAGAGAGCAAGGGAGGGAGGGAGACATGGAGAGAGATCTTCCATCCACAAGTTCACTCTTCAAATCTTACCACAGCCAGGGCTGGGCCAGTTCAAAGATGGGAGCCCAGAACTCAATGATCCAGGTGGCAAGGACCTGAGTACCTAAGCTGTCACCTCCTGCCTCCCAGGGTGCATGTTAGCAGGAAGCTGGAACTGCACCTCCTGCCTCCCGGGGTGCACGTTAGCAGGAAGCTGGAATTGGAGGTGGAGCAGGGACTGAAACCCAGGCATTCTGATACGGGATGCAGGCATCCCAAGTGGTGTCTGAACCGCCATGCCACACGCCCTCCACCCTTGCCTCTGTGATACAGTTTTGCATCATAGTAAGAAGTGCCTGCTCATCTATTCAGTGGATAATGTCAAGCTTTGTGTTTTTTCTGAAATATCTATAACAGAAGGTTCAGCTGAGATGCATATTATTTGTTGAATACTCATGGGTAGGAGAATGTACTTTGTGTTCCACGACTTCTGATATCTTTTTGACAATTTTCTGCCTATAGTGTGAAGACTCGTGTCCCTTTTGCCTGAGATTCTAGTCTCTGTAAGTCCATCTTTAACTGGGCACTGGAGGTGAGGCAGACCCTGAGGGCCAGTGCTGACACCACCTGCCCTCCGCCTGCACTGATTCCTGGCCTGAGTGCCTGTGTGCAGGCTTCGTCTGGGCCCTGCTCTGAGCAGAGATGATGGCAACCAAGGTCCCAGGCAAGGCCTGGAGGGGTGAAGAGATTCCTCCCTCTTGTGAAAGGACCTTGTGGTATCCCAGATTCAATCTGAGGTCACTGCTGCCAGGCAGGGTGGCCTGGACAGAACGTGGCAGCCTGGGTTGCAGCCTAGCCCTATAACCCCCACTCCCCACCATGTGACCTTGGACAGCTGACAGGGCCACCTGGGCTGCACGTGTGCCCTCCATGCTGTGGGCACACTGGGAGTTCATGGAGGCACTGTGCTGAGGGTCAGAATAGAGAGTTCCTGATGTCCCTGTAGATGATGGTTGCACTGGCACTCGTGTGCCTGGGGCTCGGTACTGGGATGCAGCAGGCAATCAGGAGCGCTTCTTCCCACAGGCAGAGGCAAATGTGGCCACAGAAGCACCTGTCTGCACAGATGATAACGGGCGCAGGGGATGGGCCAAACCTGAGACAGCTGGTTTCACCGCCGCTGACTCCTGCTCTCTTGCTGTTTCAGGGAGGGACTGTTGAGGCAGGGGCACGGGCAGGGGATTGTCTGTTTCTGACAAAAATCACTTCTCACAGACTCAGTGATTGACTTTAGACTTACCTGTAGTGGATGAAGGCCGTCAAAGTACAAATTACTTTTTTTGGCACCCTGGAAAGCACAATGATCATTTTTTGACCACGAGAGAGAATGAATCTGTGATAGCAGGCATAAGGACCTGTTTAAGAGACAATGAGTTCCTCATCTTTGGTTGGGGGTGGGCTGGGGTGCCAGTCCCTTGCAGGCCAAGGGAGGCTGCTAAGGGTGGAGGGGGCAGGTGGGATGAGCACAGCTGCCCTGGCTCCTTTGTGGAGAAGCCCCTGCAGCTTATCAGAGGCTGACGTCAGACCCCTGCAGAGAGAGGGCAGCCTGAGTCCCAGGAGCTACCGAGGGGCAGCTTGGTGGAGGGAGAAAGAGCACGGGTTCCAGAGCTGACAGCCTTGTGTTTTGAGTCTGAGCAATGATTTATCAGGGCCTAAGATGGGCAGGCTGTCCCACCTGTCAGGAAGAGTTTTCCCTCTTCGTAAAATAAGACAAGTGCTGGTTCTGACCAGGTGGCAGTCGGTCCTGCACTGTGTTACTCTGTGCCATCATCTTGTGAATGGATCCAAGATGCCAGCTCCCGGTCATCATCACAGGTGTGGTGGAGCTGGTCCTGGATCCTGTGCAGGCTGCCCCGGCACAAGGTGTTTGCAGAAGCTGAAGGCTCCGTGAAGCCAAGGAATTCCGGTCAGCAAATGCTGGAAAAGCTTCTGCTTCCCCTTCTGCCACCACATCTCTGCTAGGCCCCACCTGGAGTTCCCAGGCATGGGCCAGAGTCCCTGTGGCACAAGATGCTGGCGGTGGTATTCCCAGGCAGGTTTGCTCATCTGCTAAGACCCCAAGTGCCTGCCTTGTGACCCTGGGGTCACTGCTGTTCCCCCGAGGTGATTACAAACAGCAGTGGGGCAGCCGTGTGGAAGGGCTTTACGCCTCACGTGGGGTCTGATTTTCCTTCTCTGCCTTCCAGTTTCATAACTGGTGTTCCGGTGAGAGCCAGGCTCTGCCTGCTGGCATATCTTGGACACCCATCATGGGTACTCTGCTGGTGTCTCGTTGCTTTGTAAGAAATCACCAACTTCCCAGTTTAGAGCAATACAGATTGATTTCCTCACTGTCTGTGAAATCAGGGCGTCCAGTGCAGTCCTATGCCCAGGCTGTGTCCACATCTCAGGCTTGTCCAGGGGAGGTCTGTGTCCATACCCCTCATGGTATCCTCAGCCATTTCCCTGAGGTGGCCCCCCTCAGGTCCCCTTACCCTGCTGGCCCCCAGCCCCTCCCTCAGGTCCCCGTACCCTGCTGGCCCCCAGCCCCTCCCTCAGGACCCTGTTCACCCCTGCTGGCCCCCAGCCCCTCCCTCAGGTCCCTGTTCCCCTGCTGGCCCCCAGCCCCTCCCTCAGGTCCCCGTTCCCCTGCTGGCCCCCAGCCCCTCCCTCAGGTCCCCATTCCCCTCCTGGCCCCCAGCCCCTCCCTCAGGTCCCCATTCCCCTCCTGGCCCCCAGCCCCTCCCTCAGGACCCTGTTCACCCCTCCTGGCCCCGAGCCCCTCCCTCAGGTCCCTGTTTCCCTGCTGGCCCCCAGCCCCTCCCTCAGGTCCCCGTACCCTGCTGGCCCCCAGCCCCTCCCTCAGGACCCTGTTCACCCCTGCTGGCCCCCAGCCCCTCCCCCAGGTCCCTGTTCCCCTGCTGGCCCCCAGCCCCTCCCTCAGGTCCCCTTCCCCTGCTGGCCCCCAGCCCCTCCCTCAGGTCCCCATTCCCCTCCTGGCCCCCAGCCCCTCCCTCAGGTCCCCATTCCTCTCCTGGACCCCAGCCCCTCCCTCAGGTCCCCGTTCCCCTGCTGGCCCCCAGCCCCTCCCTCAGGTCCCCATTCCCCTCCTGGCCCCCAGCCCCTCCCTCAGGTCCTTGTTCACCCCTGCTGGCCCCCAGCCCCTCCCTCAGGTCCTTGTTCCTGCTGGCCCCCAGCCCCTCCCTCAGGTCCCTGTTCACCCCTGCTGGCCCCCAGCCCCTCCCTCAGTTCCCTGTGCTGCTGGCTTGAGTTCCTAGGGGCCACCCCTCCAGGAGGGGTCTCACCCCTTTATGGGCTCACTTGATCATGTCTATCCCATCTAGAGCAATCTCCCTTTTGATGAACTTGGTCAGCTGGTTGGGGACCTCTATTAAGTCTACAGGAACCATTCACCTGTGTTCTGTCATGTGGCTTGGTCATCATGTTCACACTCAGGTCATCTTGGGGTTGTTTTGGGGTTGCTTGGAGTCTTGGGGTTATTTCAGAGTTCTGTCTCCCCAAGCGGCTGCTGAGTTACAACTGACAAGGAGGTGGGCTGGGTGGAAAAGTCGTGGTCTTGGGGGGCACAGGTGACCCACACTCCGGACCTCTTGTCAATGACCCCAGCCTTCTTCCTGAATTGACAGCCTGTGGGCCCTTGGGGTGCTGTGTGCTGTAAGGGACCACACCAGGTCCAGCTGTAGCTTTGTGAGGTGGCCTTGGGGTGCCAGCAGGAGCGCAGCCTGCAGAGGGCGGGGGAGGCACCCTGTGTGTAGCGTCAGGACAGTGGCAATACCTTGCTTTGCGTGGTTTCAGAGAAAGCAGGGCACACCAAGCTGTGAACTTCCCGCCTCACAATGGGCATGGCGGCCACCACCTTTGTGGGAAGAAAATCATCAGTGGGCTGATCTGAAACCCCATGAGAAGTTCAAAACTACCTGCTAACCCCAGGGTTCTTTTGTGTGTGTGTCTAGATTTCCAGTGGGTTCAAGGGGACGTGTGTGAAGTCCAGCTGATGGTGTACAACCCCATGCTGTTTGAGCTTCGAGTGCAGAACATGGTATGTACCACCGCCAGGGGCCTCTGTGACCGAGAACCCCAGCATGTCACTAAAATGCAACTTTGCTTACTGTTAGAGGCACTAATTCTGGCACACATGTCTGCTTTGCCCAAGATAGTAAGCGTTTGGTGAGTGAAGTCCATGTTTTGTCATTACCGTGTCTCATGCTTGCTGCCGAGTAGACAGCACAGAGCAACCTTGGGCTTGTACATGCACTGAGCTTTGCCCATTGGCTATGAGACTGGAAGTCAGCACTTTGGAGTTCACAGGGGCTTACTGGAGATTGTTGTGCTGCTGTGAGGTGACACAGGGATTGAGGTGCAGGGGGAGCTGTAGAGAGAGGTGCTGTGTTACTGCACCATGTAGGGTGTGGAAGATTCACGCCCTGGTCCATGCTTGTTTGGGGGACTTGTGCTGCCTTCAGACTACCATGGGATCCGTTCCCAAGGTTCTCTGTACTGCGACCAGTTTCATAACTGGTGTTCCAGGTGAGAACCAGGCTCTTCCTGCTGGTGTCTCACTGAGGGCCATGCCCTGTGCCAGGTACAGGGTGCGTGGGACCCGGGGGATACAAAGGCCTATAGGCCTTATCCCTGGTGTGAACACAATGAGCTGTGTTGGGGATGCATGGCGCCTGCCTGGGAGAGACGCCCCTGCTGACTGGGCCAGACTGCCTGGTGGAGCCACAGTTTTCCGCAAGCCAGGACTGTTGGGCAGCCCTGCTGCATGTGACTGCTCCCCAAGCCTGTGTTAAGCCAGCAGTCCTGAGACTGACTGAGCACCGGTGTCCCCCCAACTGTTGCACAAGGGTTCACTGGCCTCAGGACATGGCCATGGTCAGCCTCTGCTGTGGCTGTCTGGCTCTTGGAATCCAAGGGGGGAATTTACCACAAAGTAGTTAAAGTGTCAGATGATTGCTGCTGTTTCTTATACATTTTTTTTTTCATTTTAAAAGTAGCATTTTTACCTGGTTTAAAAGTAATAAATTACATATTTTAACAAATCAGGAAGGGTAGAGACTTAGACAAGAGAAAACCACCACTTGGATATAGCCAGCATACCATGGTGCTGTGTCAAAAGCTGACTATGGAACACTTCAGACGTGCACACGCTACCCGCATTTCAGGCAGGCAGCGGTGGCCACACCGCCCTGATTGTTCTAAGAAGACAGAGAGGCCAGTGTGTCTGTTAGAGATGAAAGGCATGCGATCAGCTTCACTGAGTGTGCCCTGCTCACTACACCCCCTCCACACTCACACACGCAGATCACTTCACGCGTTTGCCTCACATGTGGGCGGCAGGCGTGCTCACTGCCCCCAGAGTGTCTCTGCTGCTGGCGTCTCCTGTGCACAGAGTTAGACACAGTGTATGTGCATTCCACACACCCAGCTGTCTACACCATGCACACATCTGTGCATGCAGGTTTCATACATCCTGAACTCACACCGAGGCCCGGCATCTTGCCTTCCTGCGTTCCATGTTTGCAACCTTCCTCTCAGCATACCCACTTACATGCCTTGTCCTGCCACAGATAAAAGAGGTTTTTTTTTTTTTTTTTAAAGATTATTTATTTATTTATTTATTTGAAAGTTGAGTCACAGAGTCCATTTGCTGGTTCACTCCCCAAGTGTCCGCCCAAGCCAGGGCTGAGCCAGGCTTGAAGACAGGAGTTCTGTCTGGATCTCCCACATGGGTGGCAGAGGCCCAAACACTTGGGCCATCTTCTGCTGTATTCTCAGGCACATGGGCAGGCAGCTGGATCAGAAGTGGAGCAGCCAGGATGCAAACCAGCAGCTATATGGGATGCTGGTGTTATAGGCAGAGGCTTTACCTGCTATGCCCCAATGCCGGCCCTGGATCTGAGAGTTTGAGGGTTGCCTTGACTGCAAACTGTGGAAAGCGGAACCCCACAAACAGGGCAGGACTCTCTGTGTCTTGAGTTCTCTAATTTATCTCAGCAGGGTTCTGTAACTGTGATGAAATCTTGCACATTATTCGTTAGATTTGCTCCAAGATAGTTGGAATTTTTGGTGTCTTGTTAATTTTTTTAAACATTTTATTTTCCAATAGTTGACTGGTGATTGTTGATGTCTTTTAGATTGTGGGAGACCAGGAGGAAGCTTCTGGATCCTGGCTTTGGCCTGGCCCAGCCCCGGCCATTGCAGCCATTAGTGGAGTAAAACAGTAGATCTCTCTGTCTCTGTTTCCCTCTTGTTTTCAAATAAATATAAGTGTTTCAAAAAAAGATAAATAAAAATTTTCCTTTGTGTTCATATTCCCATTTGGTACAAGAAGAAAGCAAAGCAAACATCAGAAACATGGAAGAGAGGACCAAAATCAAGGACAGCGGCTATTGATCTGACTGCCCCGTGCGTCACGTGTGCATGGTCTCTGCAGTTCTCTGTGGGTTCTAAGAAGCCGCAGCCTTCCACTGCCTTGTTCTGGGCTGCCAGGTGTGTGGTGCAGGCTGGTCCTGCTCACGTTGCTCTGTGCCTTGCTGCAGGGGCTGCTGACCAGTGGAGTGGAATTCGAGTCGCGCCCCGCAGCGCTCTCCCTTCCAGCCGAGTCTGGTCTGTACCTGGTGACACTCGTAGGGGTCCCACAGACGACTGGAACGATCACCATGAACGGTAAGGGCTTTTCTGATTGCTGCTGTTGAGGGGCTGCCACACTGCTGTTCCGTACACCAGGGTCCAGAGCCTCTCACCCATCTCGTTAGTCCTCGTCCATCAAGGGATGGGGAAAGACTGCCTTTCCTTGGGATGTGGTGCAAGTTGTTGGAGTGTGATTGGCACCTGCCAGGCTCCTGCTGCACTGGGTGGGGCCCCTTCCTGTGCTCTGTCTGCCTCCTCCTCCAGACAGTCTTCCAACAGCTTAGTTCCTAGCTCTGCATCCTGACCTTTCCTGATGCCACGATGTCCCATGTGCTCTCAGGAAGCCCCTGTCTTCTGCTGGATCTCTTGGGAGAGTTGGCTGTGCACACTGAGTCACTTCTGCCACCAGTGCCACGTTCCTGCACCGCTCCGCGTCCTGAGTTTAACCCTTATCCCTTCACCAGGACACCTGTCTGTGGCATCACTAGTGGCATTTTTCTACCTAAACCTGGGACCAGTGGTTTGGTTTGCTTGGAGCTTTAGTGCTCATTTGCCACCCTGCATATGTGGAGAGCTGTGTCCTCCAGCCTTGGTTACACCACACCCTCCAGATTTTCCGCGGTCTCTTTGGCCCTTCTTCCGCAGTCTTGCTGGTCTCGTGCAGGTGTCCCCTTGCAGCCCAGCCCTCTGACAGGTGCTCCTCACTCTGTGTTTCTTGTCCTCCTCTCTGTCCTCTGTACATCACCACTGGTGAGGGTATCCCCAGCCCCACAGTGTTTTTCTGCCTCACAGCCCTATAGACTGCTGACCACTACTGGGGTCAGGTACCCTTCTCTGGCCTGCGCCCCAGCACTTCCCAGCTATCCCCCTGGTGTCCAGCGGGTGGGACATGCGTGTTCTACATGTCCAACCCAAATGTACTGCCTCCCCTCCCCAAAGCGGTCTCTCCTCTGAGACCCTTCTCTCTCCTCTGAAGGCATCCTGGTCAACCAGTGGGAGTCACTTTCCCTCGTCATCAGGCCGAGTTCCCCAGCCCTGTGTGGTCCATCTCTGTGCTCCTCTGCCGAGCCTTCCTGCTGGGTTACACATTGTTCCTCTACCTTTGCTGTCTTGCAAGTGCCCTATCCTTTTCCACTTCCTCCACTACCTGTGTGGACTTAGTGGTCCCTGAGCTGTGCATCTCTGTGCAGAGCAGTTGGCATTGTTCTTTGGTGTGTCTTGTGCCCAAAGCTAGACGGCTGACCCTGTACTGCTGTGCACAGTAATTGTGGACCCCAAGTCTTTGTCATCAGACTATTATGTGACAGCCATTTTCAGCAATGGTAAGGAAAGGCCTGATTCTAATTAGGAATTATAAAATAGTGGTTGCTCAGCAGGCAAAACATATATCAGGTTCCTGTTGAAAGGCAAATGCGAGAAACTCTGGTTCCAGGTATGGATTTGTGGGGAGAATAGTGTTTTGCCCATTGCAGGGGTGTTTTGACAAGCCCACCCTCTGAGGGAGGGTGAGCTGGAGTGGTGTTGAGAGAGCAGCTCCCAGCCAGCAGGAACCTCAGGAGGACCGAGGAGGCTGCTGGGGCCCCGGGAGCCCTTGAAAGCCATGCTGGCTTCTCCATTGAGCACACCCCAGGCTCACACAGTGTAGGCAGGTTGTCACCTGAGCCTCGAGCCACTGGGTATGGTTTCATTTTGTTGCACAGTAAATGCTGTTGACAATAATTAGGTAAATTTCAAAAGCCGTTCTACAGCTTTGCTTGAATAGTTTCAAGTGCTTATCTCACCAGTGGGAAATTTGCTCATCTTAAACGGCAGTGCTCACACACACACACAGCCAGTTCGCCCCATCACAAAGCTGCTGCAATAATAATAATTGGCTCTTGAACTTTCGCCTCTGAACAGAAGGTTCTGAAGCATTTTTCAAATACTCATTAAATTACATTATGTCCCGGGAGGGAATATTAACTGCCATCCTCACTGTGGAGATGGATAAATCTGAAAAGCAAGTGAGTCCCGGGCTGAGATGCTGACTACGGGTTGTGCAGAGATTGATGGCTTACAGGAGCTTTCCCATTTGGGCCCAGTCAGCCTGGTGGGATGGGAGTACAGGGGCCATTGTAACCCCCACCACAAAGGAGGAGCCCGAGGGATGTTGAGGCTGTGGGCAGGGACTGGCAGGTAACGGAGCCAGCACCAGGACCCAGGTCTTCTGCAGGGTTGCCCTTGCTGGTTGGGGACTTCAGCAGTGGACAGGAAGGTGGACACGGGGCATGGAGCTTTGCTGGGAGTTGTGAGGTCTCTACTTTCCTGTGTCCCAGGTTACCACACCTCCGTCTTTGGTGTTGTCAGTGACTGCCTGCTGGACCACCTCCCGGGAATAAAGACCAGCAGCTCTACTGTGGAAGTCATCCCCGCTTTGCCAAGACTGCAGATCAGCACCTCCCTGCCCAGGTACCCGGTGAGCACAGGTGTCCAGCCACGGGCAGGAAGCAGCCCTGGGGAGCCTTCCCTCGTGAGGCGCACAGGCTCTGCATGCGTCCAGAATTTGCAGGCCCAGAATCTGCAGGAGGGGGCCTTGAGAGTCCACAGTAGTTCATCCGTTTTGCCCAGAGCAAATTAGAGCAGTCAAGATCTCCCATACTAAGGCTAGGACCAAATGTGAAATTATTCTTCCAAAAACAGTCAGGATCTTAGGGCATCTAAAAAAATCACTCTTCTCTTTGACAGAATTCTTTTATTTTAGTTTTTTTTGTTGTTGTTGTTGTTGTTGTTTGACAGGCAGAGTGGACAGTGAGAGAGCGACAGAGAGAAAGGTCTTCCTTTTGTTGTTGGTTCACCCTCCAATGGCCGGTGCTGCCAGCGTGCTGCAGCCAGCGCACCATGCTGATCTGATGGCAGGAGCCAGGTACATATCCTGGTCTCCCATGGGGTGCAGGGCTCAAGTACTTGGGCCATCCTCCACTGCACTCCCTGGCCACAGCAGAGGGCTGGCCTGGAAGAGGGGCAACTGGGACAGAATCCAGCGCCCTGACCAGGACTAGAACCCAGTGTGCCAGTGCCGCAAGACAGAGGATTAGCCTAGTGAGCCACGGCGGCAGCCCTTATTTTAGTTTTAAAAGAAATATTTATTTACTTTGAAAGAGTCACAAAGAGAGGGAGAGACACACAGAGTGAGTGAGAGCTCTTCCATCCTTTGGTTCACTCTCCAGATGGCCGCAGCGGGGAGCGTTGGGCCAGGCTGAAGTCAGGAACCATGAGCTTCATCCGGGTCTCCCATGTGGGCATGGGATCCAAACACATGGGCTGCTTTTCGCAGGCCATTAGCCAGGAGCTTGATTGGAGAAGAGCAGACAGAACCCGAACTGGTACCCATATGGGATTGTTTTGTTTTTGTTTTAGATTTTCAGCATCACAGGGAAGCATAAAGGAGAAAGGGAAGTGGCTGTCAGGAGGCCTGGAGCCAGTCACTGTGAATGCTTGGAGGTGCTTCCTGCCACTTTAGAAAACACTTGTCTGAACACGGTGTCATAGATGAGTTTTTGTGAAATCACATTAATAAGCTTTTCCTCACACTTTCACAGAGTCTTAAAAACCTGGTTTTAGTTTTAGTTGCGTTTAAAAAGGACAGCCTGAGGATATCTCAGGATTTCATAACCGCCCTTTCCTTGCTGTTGGATTTGGGCCGTTCTCAGTTGTTGCCCTCAGGGGTGACACTTCTTGGACATCCTTTGGCTATTTTTAGGATGTTTGAGATTTTCTAAAAGGTTTTAACTGGTTTGTGTGTCTGATACATGCTTGTTGCTTGCTAGGCAGTGGGCCAGGTGCCAGAGCTGAAACCGTGGGCCCAGCATTCTGGGGCCTGGTGCTCAGGGAGGCTGTGTTCAGCAGGAGAGAGGGAGAAGGCAGAACCAGCATGGCCACTGCCCTCCGGTCCCCACTGGTGGCCGTGAGGGGCTGGGAGCAGGAATTAGCCATGCACAGTGGGCAGCTGGGAGCATTTGTCAGAGGTGGAGAAAGCATCGGGTGATTGGGGAATGCAATGAAATGCAGGAAACATGAATTCTAAAGCAGATCCCAGACCTGACTGTGAGAGCTCAGAGCACCAGCCTTTGAAAAGAAAGCTGGTGAGAGTTTTCACGACCTTGTATTAGCCAAAGAGTTCTTTGACATGTCACCAAAAGCAAGATCCACAAAGAAAAAAACACTGATAAATTGGGCTTCATCAAAATTAAAAACTGCTGTGCTTCCAGAAATACCACTAAGAAAATGAACAGACAACTCACAGGCTGGAAGGAAATATTTGTACATCATGTCTCTGGTAAGGATCTGCTACTTAACACCCAAACTAAGAAGGCAAACAACTAAATTAGAAAGGTTGACAGAAGTATGGGCTAGCTCTCTCCCCATGAAAGACTTCCCAGGAGCTAACGAGCAACCTGGAAAGGTGTGTGGCATCATCAATCTTTCTGGATCTGGTACCGTGTGGGGTTCCTGCTCACACCTGCCAGGGTGGCTGTCGTCAGAAGACAGGCGGTAGCCACGTGTGGTGCTGGAGAAGCCTGCACGCTTGCCATGTTTCTACAAATGTCTAACGTAAATTGACCATATGACTCAGAAATTCGGTGTCTACCCAAGGCCGAGGAAAGCACACAGTGACTCAGAAACTTGTATATGAATGTTCACAGCTGCATTTTTTGTAACAGTCCAGAAAGCAGGCAGAACTTGGATGCCCATTGCCTGGCAAGTGGCTGAACAAAATGTGGCACATTTGTACCTGGGCTGCCGCTGAGCAAGACAGGCAAGCAGGGCCCTGACATAGGAACCAAATATGGCCCGTTTACACCTGGGGTGCAGCTGAGCAGTGGAGACGCACTGACGCATGCTCCTGACACATGCTTCAGCATGGGCACTGAAGGCCAGGATGGCTGCCTTTTATCTCTTACTGAAAAATGGTATAAGACATATTTTTCAAAAGGCCCCCTATTTCTCTGGGCTGGCCATTGTGGTGTAGTGGGTAAAGCTGCTGCCTGCAACACTGGCATCCCATATGGGTGTTCATTTGTGTCCCGGCTGCTTTCCTTCTAATCTAGCTCCCTGCTATGGCCTGGGAAAGCAGCAGCAGATGACCCAAGTGCTTGGGCCCCTGCACCTGCGTGGGAGACCCAGAAGAAGCTCCTGGCTCCGGCTTTGGTCTGGCCCAGCCCTGGCCTTTGCAACCATTTGGGAAGTGAGCCAGTGGATGGAAGTGGGCTTTCTCTCTCTCTGTAATTCTGCCTTTTACATAAATAAATAAATGAATGTTTTTTTCAAGTGACTCTTGATTAATTAGGTGTTGATTGTAACTAATCTGCTATAAAGGTCCCTGTGACTGGTGAAATGCACTCACCAGCATCTGTGAACACCACCTTGTGCTCCAGGACCCTGACCTAGGCCATGACCCTTTAGAAGAGCTCCCTGTCGGGGGTATGGGGGATTTAGGGGGTTGGTGTGATCATTAGGATTTGCTGACTGCTCCTGTAATGTGAACCAGAGGAGGGGATGCTGACCCTTTCTTGTGGGGTTCAGGAAGGCTCCATAGAAAGTGTGGGATTTACAAAGCATGGTCAAACACAGACCGTAAGGAAGGGAGTGAAATACGACTGAGAACAGCAGGATGGGACAGATGCAGAGCCCTGGAGAGGCAGCTCCCCAGAGACAGAAGTGAGTTCAGCGCATGGCACAGTGGACACAGGCCTCCCTGTGGGTCAGCCATGCAAAAGAGAAGAACCCTGTGGGCATTGGGGGGCCACAGAGCCTGGCAGGAGTAATGATGCTAGGCCCGTGGCCTGATGGCTTGTGTGTGGGCACAATGGGGCTGTGCCTTCCTTCCACTCTCTTTTTTTAAGATTTATTTATTTTTATTTGAAAGGCAGAGTTACAGAGAAACACGCACACACACACACACACACACACACACCTGGAGAAAGAGAGAGAGAGAGAGAGAGAGAGAGAGAGAGAGAGAGGTAGGTCTCATCTGTGGGTTCACTCCTCAAATGGCCACAAAGGCCAGGTTGAAGCCAGGAACCAGGAGCTTCATTTTGGTCTCCTATGTGGGTGGCAGGAGTTCAGATACTTGGACCATCTCCCACTGTTTATCCAGGTGTATTAGCAGGGAGCTGGATTGGAAGTGGAGCAGCTGGGACTTGAACCGGCACCCATTAAGAGATACTAGTGCTGCATGCAGAGACTTCACCTGCTACACCACAAGACCAGCCCCTGCATTCCGCACCTTGAGAGATGCTGCACCAGGCCAGGCACCAAGCAAGCAGCCGCTGAACACACAGTGGTCACTCTGTCCTGGGCTCGGGCAGACACTGACGAAATGCTCTTATATGCCACACAGGAGGTTCAGAGTTGAGGTGCTTATCAGTCTGTTCAGTGCATTCTTAGTGAGTACCTGTTAGACTCTAGGTGTATGGCTAGGAGCTGATAGCAAACAGACAGAAACATCGTTCCTGCCTTGGGAAGGCTCTGGGGCCAGCGCAGGGCTGAGGAGGACAGTGCTGCTGGTGGGAGCTGGGTCCCAGAGCCATGTCCCGAGTGTGCCTTTGCAGCAGTGCCAGCTGCAGTCTCACTCTGACGCCATTCCTCATGGCTCCTGGGCTCCTGCACTGTGGGTGCCTCCTTCTGCCCCTGTCCCCTGCAGCACAGAGTGCCTGGACACCCTCCTGTGCGAGATGGCCAGTGATTAGTCCTGGCTGAGTTTTGTTACCTCCTGAAACCTTCCCCCAGGAGGGACTGATGTGCAAGCTGCACAGGGGTCATGCAGGGAGGTTGTGCATCGGCTTTCCTTCCCTGACCTAGGAGCGAGGAACGCTGTTACAGATGGCACATAGGAAATCGCCTCAACCTGTTGTGCTGTTTTTTTCTCAGGATTTGGTTTGGGAAAAAACATTGCCTCTGATAGGAGCCTGGAGCCGAGGCGCGTCATATGCCTGGCTTACAGAACCTGACTTGTTCTCAGCATGGTTGGCTCCCGAATTTCTCATTCAAAGCCAAGATTCTCTAGCTCCTATTTCTGAAATGCCAAAATGTGGTCGTCCTTTTACCTGATGTGAATCAGTTTTTTTTTTTAATTTAGTATTTGAAAGGCAGGGAGAGAGAGAGAGAGAGAGAGCAAGCAAATTGATCTTCCATTTGCTGGTTCACTCCCCAAATGACTGGAGCTGGGACCAAGACAAAGCCAGGAACCAGGAGCATCTTCTGGGTCTCCCACATGGGTGCAGGGGCCCAAGCACTTGGGTCGTTTTCCCCTGCTTTCCCAGGCACATTAGCAGAGAGCTGGATTGGAAGTGGAGCAGCTGGGATTTGAATTGGCACTCATGGGATGCTGGTGCTACAGGCAGTGGCTTTACCCACTACACCACAGCACCGGCCCCTGATGTGAATCATTCCTGCACAGCGTTGGTTTCTTCCTTCAGTTTATTCTCCCTGCTTTTGGTTTAGATCGGCACACTCATTGCAGCCTTCCTCTGGTGACGAGATATCTACCAACATGTCTATGCAGCTGTTCAACGGGGAGACTCATCAACTCGCCGTCACCTTAGAAAACATTGGCCTGGAACCCCTGGAGACACTGCAGGTCACCTCCAAACTGCTCCCCACCAAGGGTAGGTGTGGTCAGTGTGTCAGACCTGGGAAGTTTGCGTTGTTGCCTTGCACAAGTGATATTTTACACAGCTACTGTTCAGAAAACCTCAAAGCTTGCTTTAGTTTGGTGCAGTCCTGATGGGGGTGGAGATCCAACACCACATGCTACAGGCATGAGGCTGACCCCTTCGTGCCCTTGGTTCCCATTACTGGATCTGAACAGGGGTCAGATCCTCAGCAGACTGGTTACTGAGTGGAAGACTGGGAGACAGGAACAGGCCCATCCTGTGGTTCCTGCAGCCCAGGGCCGCCTCCTGATTCAGCACTTGAGGGCTGGGCCAGGCTGAAGCCAGGAGCCAGGAACTCCATCCAGGATTCCCATGTGGATAGCTGGGGCCCAAGCACTTGGGCAAACCTCCGAAGGATGCCAGCATTGCAGGAGGCTGCTTAACCCTCGGCACCACAGTGCCAAGCCCAAGGTGTAGCTTTTCCACCTTTCTGGGCTGCTGTTTCCTTTGCTGTTGCTGTGCCTTTGAACTTTTCTGGAACTCAGTCCCGTGTCAGCCATCCCTTTCTTTCCTGCCTTTTATCAGGACAGTATTCATTGCGGACTTGCAGGAATCCTATCTAAACAATTGTGTGCCTGTTGTGTAGCTTCCATACTTAGCATTTTGCTGCGTTTGCCTTGTAACACATCTCTCTGGCGTCCTACCTACATCCCCCACCCCGCCCAGTATCTTGTCTAAAGTTCCGGATTTCAGAAGCACCTGTGAGTGCTTCTGTGCTCGATGTTTTTGATAAAATGCACATGCACTGAAATGTGCAGGTCTAACATGTTTCATCCAATGAGTTTCAACAGATGCTGGCCCATGTCATTGTGTAATCTAAGCCCTCATCAAGATATAATACAGCACATTTGCATCACCCCAGAAAGTTCCCCAGCTTTCTTCCCAGCAAGTCCCAGTGCAACCCCGGGAGCAAACACTCTTGTCTGTCGTCTGTGTGCTGGGCAGCCCCACTGGGTGTTTACTGCTGGTGATGCAGGGTGTGGGTGACATGCATAGCAACTGGCAGGTGGCAATTGGCAGACGTGCAGCCCAGTCACCTTCTGTTCCCTACCCTGAGTTTAATTTTCCACTGGGTCTTGCCCACACCTGGTCGGTCTTAAAAATCTTTAAAGACATTTATTTTCGGGCTGGCACTGTCGTGTAGCTGGTTGAGCCACCGCCTGTGGCACTGATATCCCATGTGGGTGTTGGTTTGTGTCCCAGCTGCTCCACTTCTGATCTAGCTCCCTGCTAGTATGCCTGGGAAAGCAATGGAAGGTGGTCCAAGGGCTTGGGTCCCTGTAGGAGACTTAGAGGAAGCTCCTAGCTTTTGGCTTCTGGCTCCAGCCTGGTCCAGCTCTGACAGTTGGAGCCATTTGGGGAGTGAACCAGCAGATGGAAGAGTTCTCTCTGTGTGTCTTTCTCTCTGTAACTCTGCTTTTCAAATAAAATAAATCTTAATGCAGAGTGGACAGTGAGAAAGAGAGAGACAGAGAGAAAGGTCTTGCTTTGTCATTGGTTCACCCTCCAATGGCTGCTGCGGCTGGCGCGCTGGGGCCAGTGTACTGCGCCGATCCGAAGCCAGGAGCCGGGTGCTTCTCCTGGTCTCCCATGTGGTGCAGGGCCCAAGCACTTGGGCCATCCTCCACTGCACTCCCGGGCCACAGCAGAGAGCTGGACTGGAAGAGGAGCAACTGAGACAGAATCTGGTGCCCCGACCGGGACTAGAACCAGGTGTGCTGGTGCTGCAGGTGGAGGATTGGCCTAGTGAGCCGTGGCACCGGCCAGAAATTTACTTTCGTTTGCCTCAAAGGCAGAAAGACAGACAGAGCGAGAAAGATCCATAGATTGTTTAACTCCCAAAGGGCCAAAGGCCCTTGTCTCTAGTTAGGCCTAGGATGGCTGGGGTCTATGTTACTCTCCTCCTTTTTATGGACAGGGGAAGTAAAGGCAGAAGAGGTGACTAACTAAGGTCACATAGCGGGTGCGCGGGGAACCAGCAGGAGGACCAAAGTCTCCTAATTCTCAGCTTTGGTGTAGTCACCCTTAGGAGGCAGAAGCACCGTAATCATGTAACACACTGCCCGGTGTAGCCATCTCAGAGCAACACAGTTACCAGTGAAAAATTAAAGCCATCATTCTTTCCTTAGTTTCCTCCCAAGCTGCCATACATTTACATGTGGAATTAAATTAATGGAAACAAACCATATGCTTCCAGAATATACAAAAGGAATAATTCCTGGTGCTTTTGCTGTACAAGTCAAGGCTCCCAGTGGTGACAGATGACCGCCAGCACTAGAAACTGGGAACGTGTGCAAGGCTCCTGTGTGGGGCCATGGTGACAGCAGCAGGTTGCCTGTGGATATTAAAGAGCATCTATTTCCATTCTCGCCTCAGCTTCACCTTGGGCCCACTGAGCCTACTGAATGCCTGCTCTGCGGATGGAATGCTTCTCTGGTGCCTGCAACGTTTTCTTTCTTTGTGCCGGTGGTAGAGTTATTTTCTATCTTAAATTAGGAAGAGCTCCCACCCTGGAGCTCATTTCATGCACCAGGTGTGAGGCACTTGACATTCTTTCTCCATATGAAGTTGTCCCAGACACCACAGGAGGGCTATCGGGGTGGGTGCTCTGGTAATGTTTATTTCACTGTGACATCCCCCGTGCCTGAGAACCCAGAGCAGCGCTTGTCACTTAGCAGGTGCTGCGCAAGTGTCAACCCTGGTTCTCCCCTCCTGGGGCCATCCTGAGGATGCAGGACACAGGGGGACAGTACTAGGCACCGAAGTGCTGGACCCAGGCTTGCTTTGGTAGTGGCGGTGCTTGGTGCACCCTCCTCTCTACAGGACTGCGTTTGTGGTCTCAGTGCCTGATGCCGCTGAACCTGCCGGCACCCTGTGTCCTTTCTTGCTCCTGCCTGACTGCTGGGAGGCACCGAGGGTCCCGGCAGGGCCCCCACAGCCCCTTAACGCATCTGCACTCACCCTGAATAACCCCCCGTTCTTCAGATACCAACCTCAGAGAAAGAAAAGTATCCTGTTCTGTTATCCCCCCTTCCATCTTCCTTGCTTTCCTGACCTATTTTACTACAAAAAAAATTGTTTAATTTTTTTTGAAAGTCAGAGACAGAGAGGTTAAGGCAGACAGAGAAGGAGAGACAGAGAGATCCCATTTGTTTCCTTTGCTTGGAGAAGGATTTTCTTGTATGCAATCTCATATGTCTATTTTTTGCTTTTGCCGCCCACGCCTTTGGGGTCACATCCAAGAAATTACTGCTCAGATCAATGCCAAGGACCTTTCCCTCTGCATTCCTCTAGTCGTTTTAGAGTTTTGGGTCTTATGGTTAAGAATTTATTTACTTACTGGGATATGTGTTTATGTATGTGTGAATGTGTACATATATAGATATCAAGTCTCTAGCACAAACCACTATCACAGGCATTTAATTTTAATTTATTTTCATCTTATTTGAAAGGCAAAGGAGGCTGAGAGAGAGGAAAAAAAGAGAGAGAGAGAGAGGAGAGGGATCTCCCATTTTCTAGTTGACTCCCAGAAAACCTTCATAATATGGAAAAGTCTTATGCTACTTCAAAAATCAAAATACAGATTTATAAAATAAATTCAATTTTGTAAAATTTTTTATTATTTTTTTTATTTTTATTTTTTTATTTATTTTTTGACAGGCAGAGTGGACAGTGAGAGAGAGAGACAGAGAGAGAAAGGTCTTCCTTTGCCATTGGTTCACCCTCCAATGGCCGCCGCGGCCAGCGCGCTGCAGCTGGCGCACCACGCTGATCCGATGGCAGGAGCCAGGAGCCAGGTGCTTTTCCTGGTCTCCCATGGGGTGCAGGGCCCAAGCACCTGGGCTATCCTCCACTGCACTCCCTGGCCACAGCAGAGAGCTGGCCTGGAAGAGGGGCAACCGGGACAGAATCCGGCGCCCCGACCGGGACTAGAACCCGGTGTGCTGGCGCCGCTAGGTGGAGGATTAGCCTAGTGAGCCGTGGCACCGGCAAAATTTTTTATTATTTTTTTAACAGGCAGAATTAGACAGTGAGAGAGGGAGAGATAGAGAGAAAGGTCTTGCTTCCATTGGTTCACCCCCTAAATGGCTGCTACGGCTGCTCTGGCAGGAGCCAGATGCTTCCTCCTGGTCTCCCATGCAGGTGCAGGGCCCAAGCACTTGGGCCATCCCCCATTGCCCTCCTGGGCCACAGCAGAGAGCTGGACTGGAAGAGGTGCAACCAGGACAGAATCCGGCACCCCAAACATGACTAGAACCTGGGGTGCCGTTGCTGCAGGCAGGCAGATTATCCACGTGAGCTGTGGTGCCGGCCAATAAATTCCATTTTAAAATCAATCCAATTTTAAAAAGAATAAACAGTACTAAATAAACACATAGAATGTTAAGTGTGCCTGTCTATGCACAGTTAGGATGCAGGATGAGGAATTATTTTTTTACTATCCATTTATATTTTTCAAGATTTCTAAAAGGAACATACAAAATTTGTAAGCTAAAATTTATCACTGAAATGCTTTCAACTGTGGCAGGCACTGAGGTGCAGCAGGTTAGTCTGCAGCTTAGGACACCCACATCCCACACTGGCGAGTCTGGTTCAATTCTTGGTTGCTCCATGCTACAGATCTAGTTTCCTGCTCACGAGCACCATGGGAGGCAGCAGGTGATGGCTCAAGTGCTTGTGTCCCTGCCACCCACATGGGACACCTGCAAGGAACTCTGGGCTCCTAACTTTGGCCTGGCCCAGCCCTGGCTGTTGCAGGCATTTGGGGAGTAAACCACTGGATGGAAGATTTCTCTCTCTTTTTTGTCACTCAGCCTCTTATATAAATAAACAAAATTTTTTAAATGCTTCAACTTGAATTTTCAAAAAGCTTTAACAAAGAAAACTCGGGGTCTGCTACAACCCTCCCTCTGGGTACAGAACCCAGCACCATAAAAGGTCAGAGGTGGACA